AAATGGATTGATTTCTGGATGAATACCAACCAACAAAAAACCTACACTGTAAAAAACATGAGGGGTAGAAACATTGATTCTGAATCTGTAAACAACTATTCAATAACTGTAGACCCCACCACGCAAGCAAACCATTCCCCCACATGTGTACAGGGTTTTTATGGTGTAGATGGTTTTCATGGACCATTGTAACCGAAGCAAATCAATTACAAAACCATAAGGCAAAGAAACCATGGCCATAACTGATTTGTAACATTTCCCTTGACATCTAGCACATCCCAATTCTTATGGCAGCCCACTTGGCGTTTTGATGTTTCCATGTTCGGTTTATTTCTTGATGTTTACATGTTTCACACCCTTCTGCTCTACTTCTACCCAGTGCACATGTTTGCACATGGCCTGAGAACAGTTGAAGCACAAATCTAAACCACAGAATCAAACATGCGTATTTCCCATGGTAAAACATGAACACATTCACATATCATAGTACATTTGTATTTTCCCCCATTGGGTATCATTGTGCAAAACATATGCCTACAAGCCAGCATGCAAAAAAAAACAGCTGTAGCCTGGAGACCCCAAATCATGGCAACAAAAACCAATAAAAAAACACTCTGTTTCAGTTCAATCCGCTTTGCAGGCTGGTTGCCAGACCTAGCGGCTGGCAACCAGCACATTCATTTTTTTGGGGAACACGATTTTGTTACAAAAAGGTTTAGTGATTTGTGAAGTTCCCATTTGTACTTCACAATACTATCTTTGATTTACTCCCAGGTCCACCAGCAATATTGCAAAACAGATTGCCTGTGGCTTGGCAATGTGCTTTGTGATTTTTCTTTCTTGGGCCAAAGCAAGATGGTTCTTAACCAAGTGGATACTTATCATTGCCCACTAGGGCCAAGATGTCTCAGCCACATGTCAGGTACCCCTGGTGCAAAATCACCTTCTCATGGCTGAAATGCAGCTGTACTTTGGGAACCCCAAATCAAAAAAACAACAACCCCAAATAGGGCAACTTGGATTAAAGTGGCCGGAGAAAATTTGTTCCAAAAGTTTTGCTGCCGACACGACCTTCCCACTGCTCTCGGCATCGGAAAATGCGATTGCAGCGCTCCTGCTTTTCATTCTTTGTTAGGAGTCGTTTGTTTTTTTCGGGAGATTGCCTTCAGGTATCCTCCTGGCAGCAGAGAGAGATTCATGTTTTGCCTCACCATGTCCTGCCTGTGTCAAATTCAGAGTCATACGTGAAACACTGCCATCATACAAAGAGATAGGAATCTTGGAGAGTTGACAGCTTCCTACCATCGCATTCCTAAGCCGGTCATGCATCTCCACACACATACCATCCACACAATGATAGACTCCCATAAGCCATCCATTCACCAAAAAAAGCCTCTAATTTGAAAAACCTTTAATTAAAGGTTTTTTGTTCTTAATTAGAGGCTTTTCTTTCAAAAAAAAACCTTTAATTAGAGGTTATAACTTCTAATTAAAGGATTAACCCTTAAATTTCATCAAAATTTAAAGTTTTTTTTAAAAAAATATGGTATATTCCTTAATTAGAGGCTTTTCGATGCTCAGGGTGGGCGGGCTCTGGTGGCGCACCGGGTTCTCAGCTGACGCCGTGGGCGCCGCGGCGTCTTGCGTGGCAGGCGTGGCACTCGGTGACATCCACCTTCACTTTGCGTGGCAGGCGTGGCACTAGGGGAAATCCAGCGTCACTTTGCGCGGCGTCTTGCGTGGCAGGGGTTGCCCCCCGTGACATCTACCTTCACTTTGCATGGCAGGCGTGGCACTTACGGCACTGTGCGGGCTCTGGTGAACATTAGAATAGAACATGACTACTTACCCAATATACTAGGTTAGGCAGAAAGTTGTCTATTAGTTAGATTTTTGCCGTAGACAGAAATCTAACTAATAGTTAGAATTTCAAGTTGCCTCGTGAGGCGACTTTTTTGTCTAACCTAATCGTGAATTAGTCTATTATTAGCTGTTTGACTATTAGTTAAATTGCGCTACCTAAGGTAGATTCACCGCCCCCTCCACGAGGAAGTTTCAAGGAAATTTCCTTGAAACTTCCGTCGTGGAAACGTGTAAACTACATCGAAAGTACCTTGCTTTTTTGGCAAAATGCATCGTTTTTTCGCGAAACTTCCCCACCGTTTGGTGGCAGTTTGGAGGCAGTTTAGTACCATTTGTCCTTTGGAAAAAATGACTTAAAGCAAGTCAAAGCCAAGGCTTGCACATGACACATATAAGTCATGGAGGGCCAAGATGTATGTATGGTTGCATGGATGTGAAGATGGATGCATGCATGTATGTTTGCATGTGCGCATGTATGCATGTATGCATGTACGTATGTATGTTTGCATGTATGTTTGTGTGACTTTATTTTTGCATGTATGCCATGTATGTCATGCATGCCATGTATAACATGTATGCGTGTCATGTGTGTCATGCGTGTCATGTATGACATGTATGATGTGTATGTCATGTATGTCGTGTTTGCCATGTATGTCATGTATGTCATGTATAGCATGTATGTGTGTCATGTATGTCATGCATATCATGTATGTCATGTATGTCGTGTATGCCCTGAATGTCATGTATCATGTGTAACATGAATGCGTGTCATGTATGTCATGCGGGTCATGTGTGCGATGCATGTCGTGCCATATCGTGTCATGTCATGTCATATCGTGTCATGTCATGTATGTATGCCATGTATGCCATATGTGCCATGTATGCCATGTATGCAATGTATGACATGCATGCCATGTATGCCATGTATGACATGTATGCCATGTATGCCATGGCATGTATGCCATGTTTGCCATGTATGCCATGTTTGCCATGTATGCCATGTTTGCCATGTATGGATGTATGTATGTATGTGTGTGTATGTATGTATGTATGTATGTATGTAATGTAATGTAATGTAATGTAATGTAACGTAATGTAATGTAATGTATGTAATGTATGTAATGTATGTAATGTATGTAATGTATGTAATGTATGTAATGTATGTAATGTATGTAAGGTATGTAATGTATGTAATGTATGTAATGTATGTAATGTATGTAATGTATGTAATGTATGTAATGTATGTAATGTATGTAATGTATGTAATGTATGTAATGTATGTAATGTATGTAATGCATGTAATGTATGTAACGTATGTAATGTATGTAATGTATGTAATGTATGTAATGTATGTAATGTATGTAATGTATGTAATGTATGTATTGTATGTAATGTATGTAATGCATGTAATGTATTGTATGTAATGTATGTATGTATGTCTGTCTGTCTGTATGTATGTATGTATGTATGTATGAGCATGTGAGAGAGAAAGTAAGTAGGTAGGCAAGAAAGAAAGTGAGTGAGTGAGTGAGCGAGTGAGTGAGCACATAAGTAAGTAGATATGTAAAGGCCATGTCATGTCATGACACCTCATCTTATGTCATGCATTGTGTTGGTGCTGCTCATGATTTGCAATAGGAATGGTATAACGTCAGTCGGTCGTTGAGAGTTCGTTAAAGCTTTCGTTGAAGATTTCGTGGCAATCCTTGTGGCAATCCATTTTGCCACACCTTTTGCCACAAAAAATGATCGTGAGAATTTCGTTGAAATTTTGTCAAAGATTTCGTTGCTTCAACTCAAGTTTGACGAAATTTCAACGAAGTTTTGGACGAAATTTCGACGATTTTTTTTGTGGCAAAATGTTGTGGCAAAACGTTTTGCCACAATACTTTTGATCAAAAAAAATCGTTGAAATTTCGTCAAAGATTTCATTACCTCAACTCAAGTTTGACGAAATTTGAACGAATTTTTTGACGAAATTTTGACGAATTTTTTTTGTGGCAAAATGTTGTGGCAAAACGTTTTGCCACAAGGAAAATTTCGTCAAAATGCAGGGTTTTGACAAAATTTTCCTTGTGGCAAAACGTTTTGCCACAACATTTTGCCACAAAAAAAAACGTCAAAATTTCGTCAAAATTTTGTCAAAAAAATCGTTCAAATTTCGTCAAACTTGAGTTGAAGTAACGAAATCTTTGACGAAATTTCAACGATTTTTTTTGATCAAAAACCTTGTGGCAAAACGTTTTGCCACAACATTTTGCCACAAAAAAAAATCGTTGAAATTTCGTCAAAGATTTCGTTGCTTCAATTCAAGTTCTGACGAAATCTTAACGAAATTCTGACGAAAGAATTTGTGGCAAAATCTTGTGGCAAAACGTTTTGCCACAAAGCACCCGACGAAAAGTCTGACGAAATTCTGACGAAATGAAAACGAAAGAAACAACAAAGAAAATCCTTATACCAGAACATATTGCAAGTGGTAGGAAATCATGGTGGAGTTCGATCACAAGTCATGCATGTATGTATGTTATATGTGTGTATGATTGTTTGTATGAATGAATATTTATTTACTGATTTACTTATTTACTTATTTATTTATTTATTCAGTTATTTATTCATTTATTTATTTATTTATTTGTTGATGTATTTATATATATATACATATGTCGTAAGGTAAGGTAGAGTAATGCCATTGGCAAGTTAATGTAATGAATATGTTTTGGTTGTTGTCTTTGTTAGCCTGTGTTTGTTTCTCTTTGTCTGGGAGCGTCCGTTTGTTTGTCTGGCTGTCTGTGTCTGGCTGCCTGCCTGTTTGTGTGCGTTTGTGTGCTTGTGTGCGGTGACATGCCAGCACATGAAGACAACCACCAACACACACATAGCAACATGAAACAGCACACTAAAACGTGAACGTTTATACAAAAACGCTACCAACCACCCAAACAAACAATCAAGCAACCAACCAACTGATGTTGCTGGACCTAAGTTTGGTTAGTTTTGTGTTTTTTGTAGCTCTGGCACGTGTTTATTTAAAGGGATTTTGTGAGGGCAAATCCTTGACAGTTTCCCGCTGCAATTTGAGATTTCGTGTCCAGTTACAGCATTTTTCCATATACAATTTGCTATTGGCGCCAGCCATGGATGTGGCCATGTATTTGCAGCTGTTGACATTCTTCGTGGGCTGGATCCTAGAAGGGCCTGAGATTGACATAAGTGACAAAATGGATCGCTGTGAAGCATCTAGAGAAACAATCCGGTCTGTCCTTAGTGCGACTGGGGTCCACAGGATTACCCAGGTTTTGGCTGAGGCATGGCAAGTGTTCACTGCCATCAAAATTTCTGGGCCAAACCCAGCATGCTTGGTCCAGAGTGTACCTCCTCCCATTGCTGGGGCAGCGCCTGCCAACGAACCTGGTGATTTGGCTTTGGTTGGGATGATTTCCCACGCTAGCATTTTGGAAGAAGAAGCCGCAGTTATGCTGGATTGGCTTGATGACATCCAATCCTATGCTGAGGGAAAGAGATTACCAGTTGTCCTCAACTGGATTCAAGACCTCAGGCTCGTCATGTTGGCAACTCATTTTTCTTTACTCCACCGTCACGCATAGCCATACAGAATTGGCCATTATATTTGTTGACAGATGCAGCTGCCACAGGAGGAAAACAATGGTTTACTGGCATGCAATTTAAACCAAAGAAGGTTCAGCTAGAAACAGTGGCAAACCTTATACTCGAAACTGTGAGTTTTTGTTCAAATATATACATATATATATATATATATATGTATATACCAAATATGCAGAATTACATACAGGGTATACGCTCAGTGTGGTAGACTCTCAGGAAAGGTAAGCTCTCAAGAAGGTATCGACTTTCAAGAAGGTATCAACTCTCAGTGTGGTAGACTCTCAGGGTTGTAAATAAATTATATAATTATAAAGATATGCATTTAAATATGGGTATTTCTTTCGGGGTAGTTATAGTTAGTTAGTTAATTAGCTATATCATATATATATATTATACATGAATACATGGGCTCATGACAATTTCATAACCATGCGTCGGCCACGAAGTTTCCCAACACGCACGATTCTTCATGCCTCCATTGGTTTTTACCACGAGAGACTTTTACCTGGAGAGTTTTTTTACCTTGAGAGTTTTTTGAACCATGAGAGACCTACCTGAGAGAGCAGCCACACCACGCGCTCCTGTGTAAAACCCGCAGCTTTTCTGACGCAGTTTTTGGGCCTGGAGGTGAGCAATAGGGACATACTTTCATGGTTTGGCATTTCTTTTAAAGAACACATCACAAAACATTAAAACATTCTACTTTTTTTCTCCGTTTCAGTGTATGGCACACTGTCATGGCGTCCCGGGGGAAGCCCAGGCTGGTTGCTGACCCATCCATTGGTGTCAGTGATTTGACCCAATGCTGGGAGTCTTGGATGGAAGACTTGGGCCACTCGAAGGTGCGCACAGCTTTGAAGCCTCCAGATGGCACCTCATGGAAGACGTCTCCTGAGCCTGCCTGGCTTGCCTCCGTCAGTGAGCGAGCTGTAGCATCATTTTGTTGCCATAGTCTCAAATGGGGTTATCCCCACCAAGAAGCATCGACTCTGCCTGGAGAAATTGCAGGGGACGAAGAATATAGATACAGGAAAGATGTCTAGCCAAGAGTTCACGGAGCAAGTGGATGAGTGGGTGCGCATAGGCCTTGCACAGCTGAGAACTTTGAGGATGTCCCAACTTGCCCGCACTCGCTGCTTCCGCAAGTCCAGCCCTGAAGAACAACAGAAGCTTGAAAAACTGATGGGATGCTTGACTGAAGTGGATGCAGAAGAGAGTTTAGTCTCCAAAGAACAGGTTCAGGCTATCGTTCCTGTCGCACAGGCACAAGATGAAGATCCAATGCGAGAATCCTCCAGCAGTGCCAAGCCAGCACCTATTCAGGTGCAGCTGCCCTTAGACCCTTCAGAAGTTTTCGCGTCGGTCCTCAACAAAGAGGCTGGAAAGGCCGTTCCAAGCCCAGTTCGTCAGCAAAGAGTCGAAGCACAGGGGAACCAGTTCAATGGTTTTCTTTCTGGTCTGATGACCATGGGAGCCCGTGGCAAAGATGGAGATTATGATCTCTTGAAGGCATGTGAAAAGCGAATGCCTCTCAACGAGGGCTTCTCCAGCCAGCTCCAGAGGTCAAACAAGGAGATAAAGAAGCTTGAAGAAGAAAGAAACACCTTGCAGATGGATGAAGAACCTGGTCAGAAGCCAGAAGTCACCAAGAAACAAGCGAAACCGAAAGGGAAGGCAAAGGCAAAGGCTAAATGCAAGAGCTCTGGTTCCAAAGGAAAACCTAAGACCATGTCCAAGAAGCCGCACAAACCAGAGGGTGAGTGAGGTGGAGATCAGCAGAGTCAGGCAACAGCTGACACCAAGAAAAACGAGAAGATCAAGAAAAAGAAAAACCCAAAGAAGAAGAAAAGTCAGGTAGCACAGCCACCTGAGGAGTCTCAGGATCAAGGTGCAGCCATGTCTGATGGTTCTGGTGAAAAAAATGAGATACCAGAGGGATTTGACCCTCAAGCGAGCCGTGCTCTCAACCGCAAGAGGTTCACAAGCAGAGCCTGGCACGCTGGGATGGACCAAGCCATTGCCCAAGGTTTGCACGGTGATGAGGCAAAAGAAAAAGCAAGAGAAAGCTCGCAGAAGGCTTCAGAAGAGTTTGTCCGCCTTTGGCCCAACCCCAAGCCCAAGATGGCAGCCAAGAAAAAGGCAGGCTCGGCTACCAATTTTGGGACTTGCATCCCTTCTTTGAAGAAGCAGAAGCCTGACACCAGCAAGGAGAATGTCCCGCCTGTGCAGAAGAGCCAGGATGTCGACTAGTCTGAGATGCCATTCGTGATGGCAACAACAAGGCGATAAAACGGGGATGCATCCCTTGTCGAGGATGTGTGGGGAAAAAAGGCTGTGGTGCGCAGGTTGCAGTAGTAGCTTGCTGCAGCAATATCAATATTTATCATGTCAACAGCATTGTTTTTGTTTTTCTGGCACCTGGAATTTTGCTACACTGTCCTGCAATGCTGGATTTGCCAAACCATGCAGTGATGATTTCACCTAGGGAACATGTGCTTTTGCTTACTGTCCCGCTTACCTGAGAGTGTATACCTTTGAGAGCATATTTACCCGTGAGAGTTTATCTACCTTTGAGAGTATATTTACCAGTGAGAGTTTACCTACCTTTGAGAGTATACTGACCTATAGAGAGGACTGTGCTATTTGTGACAGCAATTTATGTTGGATGGTTTGGCTCCAGGATGGCAAAACGTTGCAACTGCCACAAACAGCAGACACTTCAAAATGTTTTTGATACAAAAAGACATCCAAACAGTGGGATTAGATAAAGATAGGCTATAGAATGATGTGTTCAACACTGGTTTCAAACAAACACATGTTGGAAAATGTCACGCCGAAATGTTTGCATGTTACTATTGTTCATGACAATTACACTGACAGCTTTCTGAAGAGTTCAGCATGGATGACCCTGGCCCCAGCCGACTCTACTTAAAAAACTTGAGTTTTGGCGTCAGCAAGGGCACTGTTGTGGCATCCCTGTCAAACCACGGTTTCTGGGTTACAGTGGATGATGTGCACATCTGGAGAACAGGGAGCTCCAGTTCCGTGTCTCAGAGAAAAATGTGCACAGGCTTTATCAAAATGGCCAGGTGGGATGATGTGGGTGCTGCAATCCGTTTACTCAATGGACGTTTAGTACCTGAACTTTCCTCCTGTGCTCTACATGCTGAACGAGCCCTTCCCCGAATGTCGAGTTCGAAAAAAAAGGAGCAGCTTCCCCTCATGACAAAGCCCAAGGGTGATGAGACACCTTCCTCCACAGTGCCAACTGAAGGAGAGTATGCAGTTTACTCCATGATGAAAGTCAAAGAGGAGATGAAAAACGAAGTGAAGAGAAAGAAGGAGTTCGAAGAGAAACAGGCTGTTTCTTCCCGAGAGACACCTTGGGCTAGGAGAATGAAAGCCAGAAAAGATCTGTGAGCATTGCGAGTTAAAAAAACCTGTGCGCAGCCACTTTCAAGAGTTAGAATGTCATGCAAAGAAGTTCAGTGACCTCAGAGTGACCTCAAATCAAATAGGTTGCAACCTTGCAAGAATTTTATGTTCACATGGATCTCAAGCAAACTTATTCATTTTTATGCCCCAAACTGTCCACCAAACACCGACAGATCACTGATTTTGGATGTTTTTTTGGCAGCGTGGGTCCATGTGTGTTTCCGTGAGATTTTTTAGTTTCAAGGAGCTCCGCAAAAAGGCTCACATTTTTTTGGCCGCACCATCGCAATGGCTCGGAGGGCTTTGAATGTGGGTGAAGATGGCACCGTCTTCACTGAGGATCAGGGTCCTATGTCGCCAATGATGGCTTTGATGATGGGAAGAGCACAGGCCCTCATGGCACAACGAAAACAAGAAGATGCTGATGAATTGCAGCAAAAAAAGGTGCTCACCTCTGAGACCCAAAAGGAGGTTGACAAGGAGGTCAAGGATGTGAAGGATGGTGAGAAGGTGGGCCAAGAGATTGAGGACGGCATGGGTGGCAAGTCTGGTTGTCCCGCTACATCCAGCAGCCTCACCGATATCCCCCAGCAGAAGAAGAAGGCTCCCAAAAAGAAGAAAGGCAAGAAGTGAGAATTTGTCCAACGCTTTGTGACATTCGTGCATTTTGGAGTGAGCACGAATCGCCCGATTTTCCAGCATGAAAACACCTACCTTGAGGGAAAAATTGTCTTAAAATCGTGCCCAATATTTCTTTGCGCGTCTCAATTTCCATCAAACACATGAAGAACTGTGATGGCAAATTAGGGAGAAAATTTACTGTTTCAGCATGCGTTCATTGCATACTGATCACCTCGCCAATGTAGTTTCAATGAAATTTCAAGAAAATTCCATCACATGTCTGAGGCAGTTTCAAGGAAGTTTCAAGGAAATTTCCTCAACCTGTTTGAGGCAGTTTGGATGTAGTTTTGATGTAGTTTGGACCATGAAACGAGGTAGTTTTGAATATAAACTTCTTAAGACCTGCATGTGACGCTATTTTGACATATGAAACTTCCTCATCACCATATTGAAACTTCCTCACAAACTTCCTCAAAACACATGGAAGTTTCAAGGAAATTTCCTCGAAACTTCCCCACGTACTTCCACAGAGCACGAGGAAGTTTCAAGGAAATTTCCTCGAAACTTCCTCACACACTTCCACAAAACACATGGACATGTCAAGAAAATTTCCTTGAAACTACATCGAGACGATCGCCAAGTTTTACGAGCAACTAACAATTTATTGATATTTCTAGTTCCTGGTGTTCAGGGTTTTGCTATGTATCTAGGGTTTTGGTTTTCCGCACAGACAACGTATTCGCTTTTTAATTTTAGGAAATATATGGAAATATACCATAAACAAACCGCAAGACATGTTTTTGGTAAGGTTTGTTCACCAAACTCACCAAACATGATATTTCAATTATGTGTTTCTTGTGTTTTACTTCTGTGGCATTTTGCGTGTTGCTTCTTCCCCTCGGACCGTGAAAAAATGTATGCCTGAAGGGGTTCGCAGCCACAAACAAAAACACGCGTGTCAGTTCTTAATCCTTTTGGACGACCAAAGAGGAAAATTTTGTCTTATTTTGGAGGCCAAGAGAGGACTACGCATATGTGATTTTCGAGCGGCTAACCCCAAAAAATATGTGTTGTATGAGGGTGGTTGATTTCCTTAAAACAAAATCAACTTGTGAGTTGTTTTTTCTTGAACAAATCTTCGCCTGCAAATTCCCAAAGGTAAATTTGCCAAATTTTTGCTTGAGCAGATCACTGCCCACAAGTTCCCGGGTATAAGGGGTCACATGTTTATTGGACAGGATCTGCGTCTACAACTTTCCGAGCGCAAGGGACCAGATTTTCACTTGAGCGGATCCGTGCCTACAACATCCCAAGTGTATAGGATACCAAAATTCTACTTGAACAATCCCTCCTTACACGTTACCATGTGGAAGGTGCCAGGTTCTTACTTGACGGGATCTGCGTCCACAAGTTCCCAGCTCTGAGGTGTTAAATTTTGACTTAAGCGGGCCTGTGTCCACAAGTTCTGCCAAACTTATATTTGAGCGGATCCCTGCCTGCGAGGTCCAAGGTGTAAGGCGCCAAATTTTCACTTGAGCGGATCCATGCCTACAAGTTCCTGATGTAATAGGCGTCATTTTTTTTACTCGAGCGGATTTTTTCTACAAATTCCCCGGTGTAAGGTGTCAAATTTTGGTTTGAACCGATCCTTGTCTACAAGTTCCCAGGAGTAAGGCGGCAAATTTTTGCTGGAGTGGATTTTTGCCCACAGGTGCCCAGGTGTAAGGTGCCAACTTTTAAACTTGAGCGGATCCCAGCTTGCATGGTCCCAGATGTAGGTTCCGAAATGTCTACTTGAACGGATCTGCGTCTGCAAGCTCCCAAGTGTAAGGTGCCAATCTTTTTGGGACCTGATCCATGTCTACAAGTTCCCAGGCGGCAAATTTTCACTTGAGCGGATTGTTTTGCACAAATCTGCAGATGTAAAGTGCCAAATTTAAGTTAGACTTGAGCGGATCTCGGCCTGCAAGGTCCCAGATGTAGGGTCCGAAATTTTTACTTGAACGGATCCGCGTCTACAAGTTCCCAGGTGTAAGATCGTGTAAGGCGCATGTTTTTTTTATTGAGCGGATGTCTGCAAGCTCCCGGGTGTAGGGTTCCAAATTTTTACTTGAGCGGATCCGTGGCTACAAGTTCCCAGACGTAGGGTTTCATTTTTTACTTGAACGAACGATCCCTCCTTCCAATTCAATTTGTGGGCCCCTACTACTTGTCTTAGCGCGCGAAGGTTTTGCGCCAACTAGCACCTTCGAACCAACAATTTTGTGACGAGTAGCACCTTCGAACCAACAATTTTGTGCCGAGTAGCACCTTCGAACCACATGTTTTGTGCCGAGTAGCACCTGCAAACCAAAGGTGTTGTGCCGAGTAGCACCTTCGAACCAAAGGTTTTGTGCCGGATTACAGCCCCATCAAGCACAAAACGCCTGCAATTGAAACGTTTTTTGCAAGTACAACATTTGTGTACCGTGCTCTTTTCCAAAACAGGTTGCTACAGCAAGTTTTTGTGCCCAATGCTGCCGTCATTGGGCACAAAACAGGATGGCTTGGATTGCTTTGATTTTGTGAAGAACAGCACCCTCACAAATCAAGCAGGCAACAAAAAACATTGCAACTAGCACCCTTTCAATTTCCGCAGTGCCCTTCGGAAAAGTTTACCTTTTGCAATGAGGCCCTTCACAAACTATACCTTTGGAAATGGTGTTCGTCACATACATAGTTTTGTTGTTGCAAGCAGTGCTCTTCGCGCAATATCCTCATTGCAAACGCAGCCCACCTGATGCAAATCGGAATGGCGGCCAGCGCCCGCAAAAACACCCATTTGCAAATGGAATTTTTCATTTCTTGAAGAATAAAGGCGCGACAAGGACACATATTTCAATCAAACACGCTCAAGCATCTTGGGCCCATGACCACCTGTTTTCTTTCAAGGGGGCTGAAAACATGTTGGCATTCGCAGCCTTCAGTTCCCTTGCCGTTTGTTTCAAAGTTTTGATTGCATTTTTGCCAAGAAACACCCTGACAAACCTAACCCTTGGAACTTGAAGGCGCAGATCCATTCAAGTTTAAAAAATCCCATACACTTGGGAACTTGCAGATACGGATCCGCTCAAGTAACCATTTGGCGCCCTTCACCTGGGAACTTGTAGGAGGGATTTGTTCAAGTAAAAATTTGCCATCCTATATTTGCGAACTTGTAGACACAAATTCGTTCCTGTAAAAAATTGACACCTCACACCTGGGAACTTGTACACGTGGATCCGCTTAAGCAAAGACTTGGTTCCCTCCACTTGGGAAGTTGTAAGAAATTGTCATCCTACATTTGGGAACTTGTAGGCATGGACCCGCTCAAATGAAAATTTGGCACCCCACACCAGGGCACTTGTCGACACGGACCCCGCTCAAGTAAATGTTTGGTACCTTACGCTTGTGACCTTGCAGGCAGGGGTCTGCTCAAGTAAAAATTTTGGCATTTTACACATAGGAACTTGTCGGCAGGGATCCTCGAGCAGAAATTTGATCCCTTAGACCTCGGAACTTGTAGGCACGGGTCCTTTCAGATAAAAACAATAATTGGTTCCATACACTGGGGAAGTTGTAGGCACGGATCCGTCCAAGTAAAAAATTGGCATCTTTCCCCTGGGCACTTGTAGGTTGGGACTCGCTTAACTAAAGCCAGTGCAGACGATATATATATATATACATGTATATATAAAGGGAAATCAACGCCCATAAGCAACACACATTATATATAGACACATTTTCATATACATATGTCGGCTGCCCGAAAAATATGTATGCAGTATGTCGCCCTGGGCTCCACAATCAAAAAAAATTGCGCGATATGCCTGCCAACCCCCTAAACACATGGTCTGCGTTCTTTCGCTGCCGGTTTCATAATCACACGCGTGTGATTTTCCGATTCCAAACGGCAAAAAAGTAAGAACACCAAATGCCACAGTTCAACGTAGCACACGCACACGTGTTTAGTCAAGCGTTTTAAAGAAACACGCAAAATGCCACAGAAGTAAAACACAAGAAACACATAATTGAAATATCATGTTTGGTGAGTTTGGTGAACAAACCTTACCAAAAACATGTCTTGCGGTTTGTTTATGGTATATTTCCATATATTTCCTAAAATTAAAAAGCGAATACGTTGTTTGTGCGGAAAACCAAAGCCCTAGATACATAGCAAAACCCTGAACACCAGGAACTAGAAATTTATGTCGGATCATCTGTCTTGTTTCACAATGGAGATGCCAGGCATGCAATGGAATCTTTGCCTCCTCGGCAGCTCAACGACGCTATGGCTATCACCTTCTGCACAGATTTGCCACACGAAGGCCAAGAAGCTGGTCGAGCAGCCGTTAGCAAGATTGTGGAGTTGCGGTTGAAGAAGGCTTTGTTTCTTGAGCAAGCTGAAGCGCTTCAGAAAACTAATGGTGTCTATGCTGCCGGCGTGGCTGAAATCAATCGAGAGCTGCTCACGGAATGGCTGCAAGATGCAGAAGAGGCAGTTCCGTCGGTGGTTCTGGATTGTGTGGTGACGGTTACTGTTGGTGAAGATGGCCCTGGCATCATGAGACAAGAAGGGCCGGCGGACGCCACAGCTGAGCACGTGCAGGTGCAGCAAGATGAAACAGTGTTTGCGATGGAAGCGGAAGTGAAAGATTTTAATGAAGAAAAAACTGATGTCAGCAGCAAGATTGTGTCCTTGTTAGAGAAAATTGATGAACTCGAATCGGCCGGTGCTCGGTCGGTATCAGTCGAGCTTGCTACATTGATGGGAGAAGATACAACGCTGGTTGATCATCTTGGTCGTCAACGTATCTTGCAACTCTGTGATGAAGTGCAGGAAACCTGTCGGAAACTATCTGCTGCTGATGCGCGCAGGAGGTTAGAGCTGGAATTGAGAGATGCTGTCATGGGCAGGTCGCGTTGGCTGTTACCGTCCGAAACTTCACATGAAGAACCGGTTGACGAGGATGCAGATTCTGGACGTGCTGCGAAGCATTTGTTGGTAGCTCGCGGGAAGAAGCCGCTGAGTTTGTTTGACTGGAAGATTTGGACGATGGCCAAGCCGAAGCTTTGGAGATATGGTGACGCTGGCAATTTATTTGATCGTGAGGAAGCACTGTCCACCCGAGAATGGGCGGCGTGTCTTTTGCTTCGAGAGGCACGGGGCGAAGCCTTTGGTTTTGTTCTTTCGTTTGACAAATGGATATGTGTGTATGGTTTCAGTGATGCGTTTTGCAAATGTGACACTGTGAACTGTGAAGTATCCGGTAGTTTTATTGCATGTAATTAACATACCGCTCTCAGAGCACAGTAAGAAACAGATGTCGGAGTGGTTGTAGGTGAATTATTGAGGTTTGTGTTTGGGGCGGTGTGCTGTCGACATGGCAGGAGTTGCAGTATGCTGTTGACGGCGATGATGTTGCTCCTGCAATGAGTAACCGTTTCAGTGGTGATTGGATTGCGTTGCACATGATGTCCACTGTTTGTCGCTTGACAGATCAGCGCAATGCTTCATACCAATTTTTGCGGAATGGTGGCATGGCCTTTGCCAAGACTTTGAGTGCTCTGAAAGCAGATGATTTGGCATCTGCGGCACGGGTGGTAGATCCTTCCTCTGGTGATTCTATGCAGCAATTGTTGCAAAACACTAGTGTGCCAAAAACTGTCAAGGATGCTCTGCAAGCGATGCAAAGCGCATCGGCTACGGTTTTGGGTACCGATGGTCATCGCAGGCAGTGCCGGCACGAAGGAGTCGCCTACATGGAGACTTTTGGGCCGCCGCTCATTTTTTTGACGCCCAATCTGGCGGACACGCAGCATCCATTGCTGCTGGTTGTACAAGGCGAAGAGGTGGATCTTGGGTCCGTGGATCAGGAAATGGACCCCTCTTTGCCGAAGTACAGAGACATGCTGCGAAAGATTGCGCAAGATCCTGTAGCACAAACGGTACAGTTTGAGTTCTTGGTGCGATTATTTTCCAACATGTTTTGAATGTGCGACCAGAAAGGTTGGATTGTCGCAGAGGTGGGGTCCGCACGGTCTCGCGGGAATGGTGCAGTGATGGCGCCGCTGCATCTTCTACCGGCGCTGGAATGCTGGGACCGGTGCTTGCCTTCAGAGGTGAAATCGAAGCTCAAGGCCGCGGCTCATTGCATCCACATATTTTGGTTTGGCTTGTATGCGGCCATTTGGAGGTGGTAGGCCAACTTGCCAGCATGTTGAAGAATAACAAGGCCGAATTGCAGCATCGCTTACGTCACTTCATGAAAATGGTTGTGGCCAGCTTCGAATCGTTGTCCCATGCGTCTGTTCAAGCAGCGCCTCGAATCTTTGATGGCGCCAGCCTTTCGATGCCGGTTTCTGTCACGAAGGTTGCTCGCAACTTGTCCAAGTATGATGGCGGCAGTGACTTGGACTTGTTGCGAGAGATGCTGGAGAGGACTCCGGAGCAAGACGCTTTTTTGGAAGCTGCTCAGGACGACGACTGGCGCCGACCGTTGCTGCAGGTAGAGGAGGCCCCCAATCCAACCAAGAACATTTTCACACAGCCTATCAATGGCTTGCCAGTGGCACAGACGCCTGCATATCGTTTGCGCAGTGTGCTGGTCGAAGGTGCTTCTCCAGAAGAAGAAGCGCGAGCATGGCAGACGGCATTTGCGCAGGCGGCCCTGCGCATAACTTGTACACACGTGTTTGATGTGGTTGGATTTTTCAAAGAGACTAAAATGTCTTGCAGATGTGTAACATGGCGATGTCTGATGTGAAGACAGGCAACGATGTAATTGATGTGTCTGGTCAATTTAATGCGAAATGTTTTTAATTTTACATGTCGACGTGTTGCCTTACTAGACGCTTTGCTTGCCGATGTCATTGATGCGTCTTGCAAATTTGACATGGCGATGTTACAAGTGTTAGAATTCGGCAAGAATTCATGAAAGTGAAGTTGTAGAAAACGAATCTCGCAGGATCTGCACAACCTTCTACCAGCCTTGCTGAGACACGTTTGCAGTGATTCGTGCTTCAAGTATTCGGACAAGAGCTCTACCCAATTTCGTATTTGTCGGCACGGTTTTTACCATGTGGTGCATGTTACAGAAGGTTGCAGAGTCAGACGGAAAGGCAAGGCCCTACGTCCTTGCGTTCATGTCGGTAGTGAATTGGAGGTTGAATATGGAATGGCTGGACGTCTACGCCCAATTCAGCTGAGTCCATTCGAATGTCAGACTTCTTTTGGTGGTCTTGTGGCTGGCCGACACAATCTGAATCTTCAAGACATGAGAAGAGTCTTGGACATGAAGCTGTGGACAGAGCAGGGCGACATTTTGCCGCACGTCGGCTTCACGCAGCAATTGGGTTACATGGCCAAATATGAGTGGGCTGCTGGACAGTATGAAGAACGAGGTGGATCTCCCACTGAGCCAGTATCATGGTTGTGGACTCGTTCGCTGGCCAAAGATTTTCGCAAAGCTTGGCTGGCAGCTCATGAGAAAGCAGTCACTGGGGGAACGGACAAAACACAAACAGAAGATGATGTTGCCGAGCGCGACTTTGTTCGCGCGATTCGCTGCGGTGTGAGTGACGCTTTTTCGGATGGAATCAATAGGGGGTTCTACATCAACAGCTACACGACGAAGCCTGGTCCTGGCTTGGCTGGAATGTTAGAGGAGTTGCGCAAAGGCGGGACCAAGATGATGCAAGTCAGGATTGAATTTGGTTTTGGTTGTTCTTCTGTGTTTTTCGCTCGTTTTTTGTTGGTTTCGCGTTGTTGTGTGTTTGTGGAGTGAAACTGTTCGAAGCACAGGCATTGAGCGCTTGGAAATGGAGCGGGAGGAGCGCAACGAGGAGAGGAGCCGTGCAGAACAAGCTGCACAAGATGCAGGTGAACACATTCCCGGACGTCGTGGAGTTATGTTTTCTGAGACGATGAAGACGTTGACCCGCCTGTCGTCTTCCTACAGACGTTGTCATTGGAAGAGCGCGGCTGAATTGATTTTTCCTCTCTTGTACGAACATTTGACGTTTGCGTCGCATCGTACTTGGAAGCTGTTTGTGAAGAAAGCATTTTTTTTCTGTGTTACTGCTTGGCGAAAACAGTATGGTGACAGTGTGCTCCATTGTGTCGATGCACAGAGCGCCCACAATGATCCTGTGATTTTTCATAGAACAGGTGTGGACGATGTGGTTTTGGCCGGCTGGCGGAAAGTTGCCCGCATTGATGATGAAACCGGCGAGACGTCGTATGTCTACATTGGACCGGGTGGGCAAGCTTGCACGAATTTAGCTGACGCGTTCTTGGAGTTTGAAGCGCAGGCAGCACAGAAGCGCAATTCGCGACAGAGGTTGTCGATTGCAGAGGAGCTTTTGAAGATGCATAGTGTCACCGAAAATGTGGATCGCAGTGGCGACGGTGAGGGTGCTGCCACGAATTTGCGAGCATTGCAAGCAACTGGTGAGGATGTCGCAGTGACTGCAGGTGTTAGTACCGTCACTCAGCCTCAGTACCTTTCTGTTACTACTAAGACCACAAAATGAAGATATTTTCACTTTAGGCACTTAATGAAGATATTAGTAGTTATATGAACTTATCATAGAAGTGTTTTTTCTTTATTTTTACTTATTTTCACTTATTTTTCAATGTTTTTTTGATGATCAGAATTGATTATAGACGATGCATTTTTCTGTTATATATTTTTTGAAAATAGTTGTCGACCTTTTTGTTTCCTTTGGAATATTTTTTTCTTGCCTTTTTTCATTGTTTTTTTTCATTCTTTTCAGGCATCATCCTTTTAGAAATCACCCTTTTCAGGATTTATCCTTTTCAGGAATTATCCTTTTCAGGACTTATCCTTTCAGGATTTTTTTATTCAGAATGAATCCTTTTCAGGAACTATCCTTAACAGGAATCTTTCTATTCAGATTGATTTCATTTTCAGGAACAATGCTTTTCAGGAGTTATCTTCTACAGGAAATGGTTCTTCTACAGGAATATGCGCGGCTGCGAGTGACACAAAGAATCTTGAAGTACATCTGTGGAGAAATCATTCAGAGGCAAAAGGAAAAAAACATATAAAGGATGCTTCTTGGAAAGAACAATTGCTCTTTTGATATGTCTTCTTCAATTGTATACGACTGCCCAGAATGAGATCTTTCACAACATGAGGCTTCGGTTACTACTTCCAAACTACATAATTCAGGGATGAAGATGGATACCTAATTTGGAAAATATTCTATTATATTTTTTGTTGGTAAAAGATTTAAAGCTAGCTGGCTTGCTTTTTGTTTTGAAAATGTATTTTCTATAATTGCTATTTATGTTTTATTGTTCATATTGTTCTACAATTTACTTTCTTTTGATTTCGCATACTTTGTTCATACGGTTTTTTTGCTGAGATTTTGGTGGTTGATTAATCGCAGGGAATTATTAATCCTAACTTGACATTATTATAAATACTTACTTATCCTTTTTTTTCTCTATAAATTTTCTGAATTTCTGAATTTTCTGAATTTTCTGAATTTTCTGAATTTTCTGAATTTTCTGGGTTTCTGAATTTTCTGAATTTTCTGAATTGTTTTCCTTTTAATTTAAATTGTAAATTCTGAATTTTCTGAATTTTCTGGGTTTCTGAATTTTCTGAATTTTCTGACTTTTCTGAATTTTCTGAATTTTCTGGGTTTCTGAATTTTGTGAATTTTCTGAGTTTTCTGAATTTTCTGAAATTTTTGAATTTTGAATTTTCTGAATTTTCTGAAATTTCTGAATTTTCTGAATTTTCTGAATTTTCTGAATTTTCGGAAATGTCTGAAATTTCTGAGTTTTCTGAATTTTCTGATTTTTTCTGAATTTTCTGAATTTTCTAAATTTTCCTTTCCAGGAAGTATCCTGCAGAGAACTATTCCCTACAATTTTTTTCCTTTCCAGGAAGTATCCTGCAGAGAACTATTCCCTACATTTTTTTCCTTTCCAGGAAGTATCCTGCAGAGAACTATTCCCTACAAAATTTTTCCTTTCCAGGAAGTATCCTGCAGAGAACTATTCCCTACAATTTTTTCCTTTCCAGGAAGTATCCTGCAGAGAACTATTCCCTACAAATGTTTTCCTTTCCAGGAAGTATCCTGCAGAGAACTATTCCCTACATTTTTTTCCTTTCCAGGAAGTATCCTGCAGAGAACTATTCCCTACAAAATTTTTCCTTTCCAGGAAGTATCCTGCAGAGAACTATTCCCTACAATTTTTTTCCTTTCCAGGAAGTATCCTGCAGAGAACTATTCCCTACAAAATTTTTCCTTTCCAGGAAGTATCCTGCAGAGAACTATTCCCTACAATTTTTTCCTTTCCAGGAAGTATCCTGCAGAGAACTATTCCCTACATTTTTTTTCCTTTCCAGGAAGTATCCTGCAGAGAACTATTCCCTACAATTTTTTCCTTTCCAGGAAGTATCCTGCAGAGAACTATTCCCTACAATTTTTTTCCTTTCCAGGAAGTATCCTGCAGAGAACTATTCCCCACACAATTTTTCCTTTTCAGGAAGTATCCTGCAGAGAAATTGTCCCTACATTTTTTTTTCCTACCATTTTTTTTTCCAAATAGGCGCCTTCAGAGAATTGTTCTTTAGCAGCATATTCCTGTTCAGGAAGGTTTCGTCAGAAAAGTAGTGCTCTGAGACAATATTGTTTCGTCGAAAATCAACATTCCTGCGAATCTATCAAACACACATAAAAATCAAATTTCACTTCTTATCACTTCTTTTCGCTTATTTTGGCTTATTTTTGACTAATATTCTACTATATTTGCTTATATTTTCCTTATTATGTTATAAGTTCACCTAAAAATTTAGTGGAACTTATAACAAAATATTTTTGAAAAACAATTTGAACAAGATATTAGAAGGATAATAGTAACTTATAGTATACTTATAAATTCATTAAGTGCCTAAAGTGCAAATATTTGCATTTTGTGGTCTCAGTACGAGCAGTTTGGAGGATTATTTGTATCGCGGTGACTCAGAACTGCTGGCAGGAATGAGTTGGGCGACCTATGGCACGTGGGTCTATCGCATCGAGTTGCCTGCTCGTCCGGAGAAGTCGGTCAGAGGCGTCCTGGCACGGTACGTTGATGTTTATTTTGATCCGGCTTACAAGCTCTACAATTCTCATGCTCAGCGGATCTGCTCAGAACCTCGTGTACCAATGTTTGAAGGGTTTACTATGCCACCTCTGACTGTGGACAGCGAGCGGAATGCCATGTACAAGCAGATACAATGCCGGCCAACTCGCATTCTGCCTGTCGCCGGCGAAGAACTGAGCCAGGAGGAGTTGGTGTTGAAAGCTTTTGCTCTTTTTTCATCTCCTACCAAGGGCTCAGCAGGCATGGACAATTCCGTTGCAGCTACGACTGCTTTCACACGAGCTTATCTGGAATGGGAAGAAGACATGACGAAGGAAGCAGCCACGGCTCGTTATCGTTTTGCAGCTCGATTTGAATATCCTTCTCTGTGGGAAACAAAAGAAATGGTTGAGGCTCTTCGATGGAAACTGGAAATGGTCATGGGCGAAGAGTTGCCGCAGCCGATATTAGATCCGGATCGAGAGAAGCCTCGAGCAACTGTTGAGCAATATTCTTCCATGTTGGCAGAGAGTCGAGTTGCGCATTTGGAAGGCTGGGTTGCAAAATCTGATGATCTTTGATTTCTGTCTGTTGCTTTCGCCTTTGTTTGCTGATGTTTATTGTGTTATTGTGTTATTGTTTTTGTGCAGTAGATGTTTGACGAAGAGTAACACTGTTTTAATTCGTTTGTGTTAGACTAGAGCCACATCCGGTAGGTTTGGCTCGGGCCCGGCAACAACGTCACAAGAGAAGTCGGGATGTTGATGCTGAGTTGTTGGAGGAGTTCGTGAAAGTGACCACTGCGGGCGAAAAAGATGACGAAGATGCTGGGGACAATCCTGAGCATGATGAACTGCCTCCAGAAAAAACACTTCGGCCTGATGAAGTCTTTCAGAAGATATCTTTTCGACCGAATATGGAAGAACAGAAGAAACTGCTACTGTTTCAATTTCAAGCTCGACACAATCAATATGTGAAAGATTTCCTTGCACAAAGCTGGATGAAGGAAGATCCTTTCGCCGACGCATGCAAACTTCAGAATTCAACACGTCACTCGCTGCATGATGTTTTTGCTGAGCTCCAAAGTTGGAATGCAGTGGCTTCGTCTGAGACCAGAACCATTTTTTGGGACTACAAGTTTGTTTTGGTTTCTTTTAAAAAAAGGGGATGGTGTAGATCGTTCGAGAAGGTTGCTTTGAAAAGGTTGGGTTTGAGAAGGGGTGCTTGCATCTCAGGACACACGTGCGGACATTTTGGGATCGTGTCGATATGGTTTGGTGCAAGACGACGAAGACAGAGAGCAGCCTCCCAGTGAAGAAATTGCGCATGCATCTCTCAAGAAAGCTTTGCCACGGTTACCTGCCCAGTGTGTTCGCTTCAGTGCTCAGAATGTCTACGAGAAACCTTCCGATCTTGTGAAAGATCTAGTTGCTGCATTGCCGCCGAAGCAACGACTGAACGAAGATCAGGACTGTTTCATTCAAAGATTTGCGGAGGTGTTGGACACGGTGTACGCACAAGAAAGCACAACTGCCCCAGAGAAGCGGCATGTTTATCACATGCTGTTGCTCGGCCAAGGGGGCTCAGGCAAGACGCACATTGTGCAGAACATTGTATTCCCTGTGGTGCACTTCATGTGGCCTTCGGAGGGAGAACAGTCTACCTTGATGGTTGTTGCTGCCAAAAATGCGCAGGCCAAGAACATTTCCACTGACACTGTCCGCGCCAAGACCTTACACGGCGCATCCTTGCTCGGAGTACAAAGCCTATAACCAACAGCAACATGGCTGCTGGCTCCAACGAGAAAGGTTTGCAGAAGCTGTGGAGCTCTGTGCGTGTCTTAGTTGTGGAAGAAATCAGCATGGTCTCGGCTCTTCTTTACAACATGCTAGACTTTCGCGCCATGCTTGGTCGCCGCTTGGTGTTTGGAGTGGATCCAAACACGTATGCCAAGACAGGCTGTGCCTTCGGACGTGTGCCGATTGTTTTGCACTTGGGCGACTTCTTTCAATTGCGACCGACTGCGCAGCTCTCTTTGTTGGATGATTTGATGGCGCAGGATGAGCATGGCAACTGGAAACACGCTGATGTGCCTGCAGAAGTACAGCATGCCCAGAAAGTGTTTGCGGAGATTCCAGACGTTTTTGAGCTGCGCGGCACCATGCGGTTCAAGCCAGGAGATCCTCTGATTGACTTATTGCAATGCATGCGCCAGGGACATCCTCTGCCGGACGCAATTTGGAATGCTTTTCAACAGCGGTGTGCTCGCAACACTACATCCGGGAATCCAGATGAACGATTCAACTTGCCGCGTTTTCGGCGAGGCTACTGCATGTCGATCTACTGGGCGTCGCTGGTGCGGATGATGTACCGTCGAGCTTTGCTGGATGCAGCGCAGGCGGATCAGCCGTTGGTATTGCTGCAAGCTGCTGATAATGCATCGGGTTTGGAAAGGAACGTTGCTTTTCGTTTTTTGAACCGGCCGAACCCGTATCAAACGGGGCATATGCATGGACTATTCCCTTGTCATGTTGGCATGCGGATCCGACTGGTGGCAAAGCTCGATGCAGATAAGGGCATGGTGCAGGACACATTGGCCACGATCATGGACTTTGAATTTCACTCCAACGATCGGGCTCGGTATGGTCAATGCAAAGGCGGCGAGTTGTTTTCTCCGGAGTATCTCCCATCGGGTCTCTGGGTGGCTGTTGATGGATATCAAGGATGCTGTGGCTATGAAGATTTACTTACCCGTTGCACAGCGCATATCGAGAACTTTCAAGAGGCAGAAAGATTAGCGAAAAGTTTTTGGTTTCTTCCGGCAGAAGAAGTGGTGATTCAACTGAATAGTTCGCAGAAGTATGATGTGCGCCGCTGTGGCTTCCGAATCACGCATGCCAATTTTTTCACGAGCACTGGCTCGCAAGGTCTGACTCTTCGAGAAGGCACCATCATTGACTGTGCGCGTTTACCTGAAATGGATGATGAGAACTGGTGGCTGCATTTATATGTCATGTTCTCCCGTGTGACGACGATGGATGACATGCTACTACTTCGGGCACCGCCCAGAGAGATCTTGGAACTCGGGCCTCCAGCCGCAATTCGAACAAAAGTGGCTCAGTTTCAAGAACGAGCTAACATTTGTCGTGCAGGGGTTGCCGCACGTTCTGGCCACGGAGCTTGATACAAGCGGCTCAGGATTCGTTTCTTTTTGTCCGGACTTTTATATCTTCTGGAGTATTGCAAATCTAGCAGTCGTTATTCGAGTAGTCGAACGAGGCTTGTCACCAGAGGTACAAAAAATATTATTTTGACTGACACTGATGTAGCATTAGTATGTTGATTGAGCTGTTTGATGTGACTTCTTTCATGATAGCGTTACAAGCCTCCCATTGTTTGCGTTCGTTTGTAAGAGCTTGTCTTCGACGAGACTTATGAAGACATTCTCATGGTGCCTGTAACTTTTTGTGTACGGACGTTGTGGCTAAGTTTCACAGATGAAGCACATACTTCGTAGATTTCCAGATGCTTCAAGCCGCTTGCTGCTTGTGTTGGGAAGTCTGCGAGAAGTACCATAGAAGTAAGCAGTAAGAAAACGTCATGAAAACTTGTTCGGCATTTCTTGTTTCATTGGAGTTACAGGCATCTAGCGTTTTCGCTTGGGCGATGTCTGTGTTCACGAGGCTTGTAACGTTGAAAATGCAACTGTTGTAGAGATGAAAGAATCGATATGAGTAGCTCGCAGTGATTTCCAACTGCTTGAAGCAACTTGCTGTTTTTTGTTTGGAGGTCCCAGGAAAGTATGATTATGTGGAGCTCTTTGATATGGATTGTTCATGACAGCGTTACAAGCCTCCAATTGTTTTCGCTCTTTTGTAAGAGCTTGTCTTCGACGAGACTTATGAAGACATTCTCATGGTGCCTGTAACTTTTTGTGTATGGACGTTGTGGCTAAGTTTCACAGATGAAGCACATACTTTGTAGATTTCCAGATGCTTCAAGCCGCTTGCTGCTTGTGTTGGGAAGTCTGCGAGAAGTAGCATGCATGTAATCAGTAAGAAAACCTCATGAAAACTCGTTCGGCATTTCTTGTTTCATTGGAGTTACAGGCATCTAGCTTTTTTCGCTTGGACGTTGTCTGTGTTCACGAGGCTTGTAACGTTGAAAATGCCACTGTTGTAGAGATGAAAGAATCGATATGAATAGCTCGCAGTGATTTCCAACTGCTTGAAGCAACTTGCTGTTTTTTGTCTGGAGGTCCCGGGAAAGTATGATTATGTGGAGCTGTTTGATATGGATTGTTCATGACAGCGTTACAAGCCTCCAATTGTTTTCGCTCTTTTGTAAGAGCTTGTCTTCGACAAGACTTATGAAGACATTCTCATGGTGCCTGTAACTTTTTGTGTATGGACGTTGTGGCTAAGTTTCACAGATGAAGCACATACTTCGTAGATTTCCAGATGCTTCAAGCCGCTTGCTGCTTGTGTTGGGAAGTCTGCGAGAAGTAGCATGCATGTAATCAGTAAGAAAACCTCATGAAAACTTGTTCGGCATTTCTTGTTTCATTGGAGTTACAGGCATCTAGCTTTTTTCGCTTGGACGTTGTCTGTGTTCACGAGGCTTGTAGTGTTGAAAATGCCACTGTTGTAGAAATAATGGGAAGCAACTTGCTGTTTTTTGTCTGGAGGTCCCGGGAAAGTATGATTATGTGGAGCTGTTTGATATGGATTGTTCATGACAGCGTTACAAGCCTCCAATTGTTTTCGCTCTTTTGTAAGAGCTTGTCTTCGACAAGACTTATGAAGACATTCTCATGGTGCCTGTAACTTTTTGTGTATGGACGTTGTGGCTAAGTTTCACAGATGAAGCACATACTTCGTAGATTTCCAGATGCTTCAAGCCGCTTGCTGCTTGTGTTGGGAAGTCTGCGAGAAGTAGCATGCATGTAATCAGTAAGAAAACCTCATGAAAACTCGTTCGGCATTTCTTGTTTCATTGGAGTTACAGGCATCTAGCTTTTTTCGCTTGGACGTTGTCTGTGTTCACGAGGCTTGTAGTGTTGAAAATGCCACTGTTGTAGAAATAATGGGAAGCAACTTGCTGTTTTTTGTCTGGAGGTCCCGGGAAAGTATGATTATGTGGAGCTGTTTGATATGGATTGTTCATGACAGCGTTACAAGCCTCCAATTGTTTTCGCTCTTTTGTAAGAGCTTGTCTTCGACGAGACTTATGAAGACATTCTCATGGTGCCTGTAACTTTTTGTGTATGGACGTTGTGGCTAAGTTTCACAGATGAAGCAGATACTTCGTAGATTTCCAGATGCTTCAAGCCGCTTGCTGCTTGTGTTGGGAAGTCTGCGAGAAGTAGCATGCATGTAAGCAGTAAGAAAACGTCATGAAAACTTGTTCGGCATTTCTTGTTTCATTGGAGTTACAGGCATCTAGCTTTTTTCGCTTGGACGTTGTCTGTGTTCACGAGGCTTGTAGTGTTGAAAATGCCACTGTTGTAGAAATCATGGGAGATAGCTGGAAAATAGCAAACCGATGTAGGAGAAATCATAAGATCAGGACAACGTGTCCAACGGACGTAGGTTTCTGGCAAACTGACTGGTGACTGCAAACTTGTGAGTCTTGATTCTGATGTTGTTTAGCGGCGTGTCGCCTATGGTTGGCCAGCTGGACACTTTTTGCAGGCTATGGTCCCGCCAATCTTGGCGACATGGCTTATCACGACAAGCGACGAGCTGTGCCTGGGTAGATAATATGGTATGATTACAATGATGATCAAATTCTGAAACGAATCATTACAATATGGTCTTATCCGTTTATTTTGAAAAGAATCATTCCATTATTTTCATCAGCATCATGGGTAGATAATATGGTATGATTACAATGATGATCAAATTCTGAAACGAATCATTACAATATGGTCTTATCGGGTTATTCTGAAAAGAATCCTTCCATTATTTTCATCAGCATCATCATCAGCATCCTCATCTTCATCATCATCATCATCATCATCAATAGTATAATAATGAAGATGCTTTTAGAATATGAATGAGCTACATTAAAATAGATGTATTTTTCTTCATCATAAAATTTTGAACTACGCAGCCCTTTGTGCAGCTGTCGACAGAAGAGGTGGCAGAATTGGATACCCAGGTGTAAACCAAAACAGCTATGGGTGATGGTCATGTTCAATTAGTTTTATCAGCCATATATGGTCCTTTTCAGTAAGAGAGTAAGTTTCGCTGATCCAGGGCCGAGCAGTGACCTCTTGCTGTCTGCGGGGTTAGGCGCGCAAATCGATATGCTTTTGAGTATGTCGTGAAGGGTTTCTTTCTCTACCTGTCAAAGTTTTTTGTATCCTGCATTCATTTCGTGGCTGGGGTCTAAGCTTCAGGGTAACTGCTTTGTCGCAGCACGCCGTGGTGAAATGTGTAACAAATTAGAATATGAATGAGCTACATTAAAATAGATGTATTTTTCTTCATCATAAAATTTTGAACTACGCAGCCCTTTGTGCAGCTGTCGACAGAAGAGGTGGCAGAATTGGATACCCAGGTGTAAACCAAAACAGCTATGGGTGATGGTCATGTTCAATTAGTTTTATCAGCCATATATGGTCCGTTTCAGTGAGAGAGTAAGTTTCGCTGATCCAGGGCCGAGCAGTGACCTCTTGCTGTCTGCGGGGTTAGGTGCGCAAATCGATATGCTTTTGAGTATGTCGTGAAGGGTTTCTTTCTCCACCTGTCAAAATTTTTGTATCCTG